GTTCAAGCTAACTTACTGAGTAGGAATATTAGGCAGAATGTTCAAAGGTAAATGTCACTAGAGAAACAGTGTACAAGCAGTAAGCATACAGAATGTAATAATACTTTTTTTTCAAGGACAAGCGTATTTGTGGCAGGTTACTGTTTGAGAAGGGCCGCCATGTTAAAGGTTATAATGGTGTTATTACATGTTAGGCAAATCTAAATGCTAATCGTTTTCTTAGATTTTCTGGTGAGAACAGAAACATTATAGGTTAATGCAGTCATAGTTTTGATAGATTTGCTATTTAATTGATTAAACAATGCATGTATAAATATGTTTAAAGTTGTAGAACGGGAGAATAAACCCTGCCGTTGATGAGACAAGACGAACTCATTTGGTCTCCTGTTTTCCTTTCTCAGGGTTTACAATTCTCACCCCTCTTGGGCTCAAGAGGGGCAACACGTCCCTCAACATCACATGAACGTTAGTAACCCCGAGCTGATTCTTAAACAGCACCACAAGTCCATCCTCAATTATTCAAAATGCACACTGACCTCAAAGAAGCGTTTTATCGTCATGTTGTTACCAGGTTTGATTCTAATTTGTCAGCCCATTACGGGTTTGTTGTTGATGCCTCTAAATGGCAAGCAAATATATAATATTCATGTGTAGATACTACTGTATATGTTCCAAATGAAATAAGTTCTCTTCTTCCCACTTCCTTTCAGGCAATTTATTATTATTATTTTTTATAGGGATGTTTTTGTGTGATGGTCCTGTGTTTACCTAAAATAAAAAAGTAAATAAAAAAATAAATACATACATAAACAAATAAATAACATAATGCGATTATCTACTGTAGCTGTAACCTTATAGTCTACAGCTACTTAACACCTAATATTTTGGCCACATCAAAACCAGGGCTAAATTTGAACTGGGTCCAACAGGTGTTTTTAAAGGTCTAACTCTAAGGTAAGGTATGCTTTGTTATTCCTTGTAGGGACGTCTAAAATGATCATTATCCAAAGGAGAAAAACAATAATAAAAAACTTCAAGAAATGGTGCTTAATGTAAAAGATCACATAGATTAAAATGTGTCTGTGTCCCTAAAGGATTGCTTAGTTTCTTAATGCCACAGTCCTGCCCTGGTTAGTGAGATGTTCTGTGGTCTCCTTCCTTTTCACCATGCATTATTCAAACATTTGACATATTCCTACTTTCCTTCATAGAGCAGTCACTTGGACTGGTTTGTCTAAATGCCATATTTCCATACCATATGATGGAACATGTCAGGGTCTCCAAGGAGCTGAGCAGGAAGTGTATCAGAGAGCAGATGGAGTATTCTGCTCTTTGAGTTAGTAAAGCCCTTTGAGTAGCCCTTGAAAAGCGTTCAAGAAGGTAAAAGCCGATGAGCATATACAGTAATTCTACACGTGGCTCCCCCTGCATGAAAGACAGATCTTGTCTGATCTCCGAAGCTAAGCAGGACAGAGCCTGGTTAGCACTGCAATGGGAGACCTTGGGGAAGACCAAGTGGAACAGTGGGAGGGCTGTGGCTGTAGAGTGTGTGTGTGCGTGTGTATGTGTGTGTGTGTGTGTGTGTGTGTGTGTGTGTGTGTGTGTGTGTGTGCGTGTGTATGTGCGTGTATGAGGGGTTGTTAGATCGAAGGTTCTGATGACACAGCTTATTTGTCCCACTTGTTGGGAATCTGGCCTGTTTGTCAAAATTAGATGGACTCATATAAAAAGAACAAACCAGTCCAGAAGATTTATTTCAGACAAGATCTTAACAGTCCTGTCTCTCCTGATGAGGTTCACCAAGGAGTCTTTTAGAAGCCTGGAAAGAACAACGAACATAAAAAGTGACATCAAAAGAGGACGCTTTGTCTCCAATCCGGAACCTTCTTGGACCGACAAGTTCTGTTTATCGTTAAGGTTGCATTATTCCTTAAATAAGCGTTAACACTGCTGTGCCTATCTCCACCTTAAAAACCGCATGAGCAGCAGACTGATGGGAGGGGCTACTCTCTCTCCTGCAGCACATCTCCGCGGGCTGAACACACGTACGATGTCAGAGCAAACAAAAAGATCAAAAGTTTGACAAAGATAAACACTGACAATGCACACTGTCTCGGAGCAACACACGCTTCTGTTTGATTGATGGTCATTATTTTATTTAGTTTTTTGTGTTTTTATATTGCTTTAACATAATGTAATGTATTCATAAGACGTTTAGTATCAAGAGTAGTAGTAGTATCAATAAATGCTTAACAATACCCTCTCGCTTTGTCTGTCTGTGCAAGGGCAGCTCTGGCAACAATTGTAATTTACCACCAGAGACAACAGATAAAAACGCTACTTAAGTACTATGCATTATTTTCATAGTATCATAGTATGACATGTACCTCTAACATGACACTATCAACAAGAGACTCCAGCTTTTTCCAGCCTCCACAAACTTACGGCTCTACGACTGCAAATTTTAAATTATAAAACCATTCTGTGTTACCAATGAATCAATCCCTTTAAGCACACTCCTTAAGACCACTTGAGTAAATAGGATGGTCTTCGGTCCGGACCCTTCATTCCTTGCTCCTTTCATCCACCTGCTCATCCCTCCATCTCTGATCCAAGGCCAGTCTCAGGACGACTGCACTCGACACAAAGGAATGATGTCATCTTCTTCAGAGCCGGCGGCAAAAGCAGCCACCGCACACCGCTGCGATTTATAGCACAAAGCAACTTGTACCAACGATAAATAGAACAGTCAAAACTGTGCCTGCAATGTCTGTTTGATTACAAAGGTTTGAATAGACTCATTTTTAGCCTAAATTAATCGCACTTTGATAGTGATGTGGTTCTGATGAAGGCCGGATTAAAACAATGCGGGTTTGACTAATTATGGCTCTATTTGTATGATTTTTTTCAGTCCAAAGATGATCGATTTTAACTCCACTAGCTATGATTTGATTAGTATGTGGATAATGCTTACTTTGACAACTCTTTTATGCCGTAGCAGATGTAAATCTAGTTTGTTGTTGCGTTTCCCCACCACATTAGTTATACAATGTTATATAATAATAATAATGAGTCACTCCTTTGTTAAATTCACCAAAATCCGATGTGTAACTGTACTAACCAGTAGAATCTAGGTAATCTCGGTTCTCACACTTAGATTGGGATGACACGATATCAGCTTTTGATTTTATATAGATAGCTATGGCCTACGCAGGTGGACAAACGCAAGACAAAATATCTGGCCCTCACAGTCACAAAGACTCCATTGTGTATCCATGTTATGACTCTAAAATGTTCTGATTGCCTTTCTATGTGTGACGTAACAATGACTGCATAAACCATGTCCTGACTTTGTTCTGTCTGAAAAACTGAACAACTGAAAAATCTGAAGAAAAATACCTCAAACCTAATAAACTTCCAGGAAAGCTCTGGTGCGCAAAGATCCGTCTCTGTATGGTTGATTTTCCGCAATTTATTAAGTGAAACATTTCATAAATATTTCCAAATCTCAATAGAATGTCCAACTTACTCTTCCTCTCATTCTTCTTACTAGTCTTTTTTACAACCACACATTTATATAGCTTGAGCACACAGTGAATTTGCTATTTTCTATTGATTAAAGCTGGGGTACCTAACTTTCCAAACACAACCATACTAAACTACGCAATAAAATCCATGCAGCTTGTTCCTCGCTCGCACAACACTATCTAGTTTTCACACACATGCATTTTTGGCCTCTATCACAGCATCAAATAGTGACTCCGAGGGTTCTTTCTTACAAGTATGCCACAGATAACATGTTTTCTAAAAAGGATGCATTCCCTATATGTTACTTCGAGAAGACTCTGTTGGGACAAACAAATACATTATTAATGAAAGAAAGAAAGAAAGAAAGCAAGGCACCCCAGCTTTAACTGAACAACCATGACGTTCCAATCGAAAGACGCCATTGGAATTCTCACAACACTTGCGGTGGTGTGAACTTGCAGAGTATCGCACATGCACATGGCGGAGACTTCACGGCTTCTCGACGTTCACGGGTCATCGTCTGGTCAAGGACAGGGCAAGGGCAGGGACACGAGCTAAATCACTCGTGGAACAATCAGCCTGTGGATTACACCCGCCCCGGGACAAAGCCCAATCACAATTAAAACCAGTGTTGTCACGCTCGGGTAAACACAGTCTGATACCGATGGTTACTACTGCTGCAGGTTTCCATGACAACAGACCAGGAGGCAGAGGGACCCCGCCTCTTTGCCATAAAGTGAGAGGACTGTGAGACTGGGTTTGAGCAAAGGTGCAAAGCAGTAGGTGGAAGGAGAGGAGAGGTACCCAAGAGAGATACAAAGAAACAAACGATAAATGATCTCGTGTCATGGCAGCCTGTTCCTCCGCGTTAAGAATATCAACAACATTTTCCATTGTTTTTCCCACATACAAATATACAGTACATGGCAATAATAGTAGTACTGTAGACATGCTATAGCAATATGACATCATCGTCACTTTACCCGCTTTGTGTTCTGACCTATAGTTTCAGCCCAGGCAATAAACACACAACATTTGGTAATGTTCATTTTCTAATTCATACTTCTGTTTCTCACCGGTGGAATGACGCCTGTATTAGATATAATTAGCTGATGAGACCATAGTTTATGAAAAAATCGTGGAAAGGCTTTTCAAATGTACAGAAAGTAAAGCAGCATTGTAGATTTCATCATAGGAGAGACATTTACACTTAAATGACTTCCTTCAATTGTTCTAAATAGTATATTGGTTTCTAAAAATCCTCCCACAATGTCATAAATTACATGAAGAACAATAAATAGTATCAAAACATGGCTAAAATATTTTTTAAATCCTGAATATAATATGTAAAATCGACTCCTTCATAATCACTTTAAGTTATAATGTGTTGTTATGTAGTTTACTCGCCCACTTAGCAGACATGTGCGTATGGGACTTGGGAGAAGCCACATTTTATACCCCACTATTCACAATCAATCCATGTGCTTCCTCACCAGTGATGCAGACTTGATGGTTGCAAAGCGCCCCTGGTTCTTGTAGTTTTGGGCCTGGCTGCTGGGCCTCAGCTCCGGTCTGTGGTCCCTGTGAATCCCATCATCCCAGTTGTACTGATGGTCCTAGAAAAGAATAGAAAAATAATATATTCTTTATTGTCTATCAAGGCAGGTTGATAACATATTATGATAATTATATGTTGAGTACAGAAGGGCAGAGCTGAGAACATTTATGGACATTGGTCATCTGCCCCTTATGGACCAATGGCTCTATGTGTTTTTATCATTGCGTTTCTTGTGTTGAACTGTTGATTCTCTGATCTGTGTTGGCGTATTCCACGGTCTTGTAAAGGCCCTTTGAGATAACCACTGTTGTCATTTAGGGCGATATAAGAATAAATGGAATTGAACCATTGTGAGGCCACTATCATATCACTGAGGGATGATAAAGAACTGTTGTGAAGACTATATACACATTGTGCCATTCTACAACAGAATACACATGTTTCTTACAGTACTCCATCACAGGCATGGCGCCGTAAAGATGGCGCCGTGGCAAGAACTCTGGTGTGTGTCCTGGCGCACACCGGGGTAGTCTTGCACAGTTTTTCCAATGTGGTTTTACAGCAAATGGCAAATAAATGAATCTGATCTGATCTGATATTTTTTCTTTTTTTCATTTTTGTATTACATTCTTTTAAAGTGCATTATACAGTATATTGATGCCCTACACAATTAGAGGGCTTTATGTGTTGACATATTGAAGTCCTGACCATTCATATTGCTGTTCGAATGGGAAAATCATGCAATGGCAGTATTTTGTTTTTAAATGCACCACAGCGTACAAAATAAGAATAACATATACAGATGCTATTCAACATAAAGAATGACATATAACTTAATTTCAGACTGAATAATATAATAAAAAGTACTTATTTGGAACGCGCTACTGCCTTGTAGCCTTATTTACCCTGAACTACTTGTAAAGTATATATTTGGTGCAAAACGTCTGACCCGGGAATTGAACCCAGGACCTGTTTGTGGTGAAGCTGTACCTGCAGTGCCACCGTGCAGCAAATAGAAAAACCAAAACAATACACGCTACTATATAAAGAGGGTCAACAGGTCAAAGCATTAAATAAGATCAAGTGGTTTGTGATCAAATAACTACCATATGAGCATAAATGTAACGCCTGAGATTTCAAAGCAATGTTGATGTTTCATATTCAAGGTTGAGTTCTAACATTCCCGCTCCTAAGCAGACAACAGAAGAATCATGTGAGAATCTACAGAGCATTAGAAAAGCAATGTGTCACTTCCTTCCTTGTTCTCTGCTCAGTAAGAATGCAGTATTTGTCTGTGGGGAAAGCGACGAGTGCGTTCACGTGGTGTCAGAAAACAAAGGCAGACGAGCAGAGAGGATGACAGCCGTCTGTGCTACACGCTTGTACAGTCGGAGATGGTTCCTCCAGAGAGCGATGGTTTTTGGGTCGAGATTTTTGTGGGCATGCGAGGTGTAAACACAGGAGTCATTTTAGCAAGGAATTTTCCATGTTAAACTTATCTCGTGTGACCGCCTGATCTGTGGAAAGGTCAGTCTGCTTGTACGAGACGGGAAAGAGACAAGGATCTACTGTAAATTAGATCGATGTAAGATAGAAAGGTTTAATCCCATACTGTGACATAATAAAGGTAAACGGACTAAAGCTGAGGGACATCTCTCTGAAAACAGTTCGGTTCTATCACTATTGTTTTCAAATGCTTGAATTTTTGGCCTCTGTCACATCTTTAGAAACGCTTTTCAGAGAGAACCCCCCTCACTTCCAATCAACTCTCAGTGTCAAACAGTGACTCATGGGGTACTTTCTCACAAGGACTGTATGCAAAGGATAACATATCTAATCATATGAAATATTACTTTCATGCAATGTTTATCCAAGAATACAGTTGAGATTTTTATAATTATATAGTTAATGAATATGTTATTATAGAATAGACTTTAAAGCAGCTCTGCTTGTGGACCCTCCATGGCCTTGTTCCAAAGTACATCTATGACATTAGTGCCATATGAACCAACTCAGACTCTGGTGCACAGGGACTGGCCTCTTGCTGGTCGCCAGAATCTGGACTAAACAGCATTTCAGATTTATCCGGCTAAAATCAGTCTTCCTGAAAATGTGAGACAGGCATCTACACCGACAATGTTCAAAACCAGGGTAAAAACTGTCTAGGAAATAGGGGCTTTAGTAGAAATGAATGATTTGTAAACATGCTGTACACAATTGCTATTTTTCTTGTGCACATAGTTTATACTTTGACTTGTTTGACAAATCTTCCTAAATGTTTTTTGTATGTGTGAAACCATAACCCTAACCCTAACCCTCAAAGCCCAAACTGCACTTGGGCTATGAGGACAAAAGAGGCCATATATCACTAAGACATCTCTCTTTCCTAACCGCTTCTTTCCACACGCTGTTATCAGTTCAAACAGAGCAGTTTAATGATCTTACACTTGTATTAAAACTATTTTAGTTTCGATGTCACAGTGACAATTTCATTCCTGCACTTTTTTTAGTTTGTTTTATTTCTTTAGTCTTTTTACCATGTTTTATTGATGTACTTGTCTGGTGCACACTGGGGACTTTTGCAAATGTATTCCAATGGCAAATAAAATTAATCTGAATATATGTTTTGCTGAAGTTGAACTGGGAGACGACTGATCGAACCTTCTTGTGGTGGGGGGAGTCCGGGCCGTAGTCCTGGGGGTGCATCATGGTCATCTCAGAGCAGCCGTCGTCCAGCACCTCCTGCATACTGTTGACGCTGCTGCTCTGGCTGCCGGTGCTCACAGAGGTGCTGGGGATGGAGTGGTTACTGCCCAGGCTGTTCATCTTACCACTAGCTGCTTCGCTGTCCTGCAAAATCACATGCGAGAAGAAACAATTACAAACTTTAGGATGTGCAGGTCGGGCTATCAGTGGGCACCAGAGTCTCCCATTTCTAAAAAGTATGTGTGCTACTCAGGCTGCACGATTGTTGTCTATTTGCAAAGTTTTTTAATCAATGATTTCTGATAATCTGCCGTTGTGATTTAGGGCTATACAAGGATAAAGTGAATTTGCTGTACGTTTAAAATGTCCAGAGTGAGTAAATCATCAATAGTTTGATTTGAAAAAGTGTGTGAACTGATTACTTAATACACAATTCCCACACATTTCAGACAATGGTATCAAGTTCTAACCTACTGTATGGTGCCACCATTGTTTCCCAAGTAGAAATACAAGATATTCTGCAAATATGTTAAATACACATAAACGCTTGATGTAAGTAGTTGTATATCTTTTCTCACTCATTTCAAAAGCTACTTGTTCCATTGACACATATTCAAAACAAACTAAAGCAGCTTTTTCTAAAATTCAACTGATATCTCTTCTGATCTTCTGATTTTCAAAGAACTTATATAATTGCACTTTTTTTCAATTTGCGATCATGGCAACAGTGATTTTGACTGGATTGTGATTTATCTAGTGGCCCTACATGCTACGCTGAATAACTCAAACTGTTTTTATGGTAAATACGTGCAAATGTAAACGTATTCTCTAAATACCCATATCTGTTAAAAGTATCGTTTTACACAAATCCATCCATCCATATCGATTCAATTCCTTGCAACTGCTACAAGAAGCAGATCAGAGGCAATGGGTGGCAAAAGCAGATCTCTCAGGAAAAAGGGTGGATGCCACTGCTGTTTGTTTGGGATTAAGAGATCCTTTATTTGTCCTACATTGGAAGAACTTCAGTGTTGCATCATAAATGAATGAGGAGCACACAACACAAGATAAGTGAAAATCAAGAGCAGTACAATATAAAAGGATGGGTACATTTTGTGTGCAAAATGTCTTCTTGCACACCCTGAGTGATTCTTATCATGCCAAATGAGACAAGTAAATTTCTCCATTGCGAGATCAATAAAGTTGTATCTTATCTTATCTATGCACGTTTATTTTATTTTATATCAGATAAAGAAGATATTGCCTGTATTGTGATATTATTATACACATTTTGATATAAATAAATCACTATACCTATTACTTTTTCTATGCAAATTATGAATCATCATGAAACTATTACATGTGGTCCCTTTAAGTTAAAACATAGTACTTGAGTGGTCAAAGTGTTTTGCATGTAACAGGAAGCTGAGCCTATGAATATACATCTGTTTCCTCAGAGTGACGCGGTTTTCTTTGTTTTTCACGTCAGGCAATTCTACACCTCCAAACGGTAATCTCAGCCCCACTACTCGTCAGACGCCTGTATTTATCATGCCTCCAAAAACAACCGCTGCATCTACAAAGCCTTGAAATATTAAATAGTGACATTGTGGTGCAGTGGCAGAGCTGTGGAGGTTAGAGTTTATCTGCGTCGTAAAGCACACCAGTGTTCTTTCTCACAGGAAGGTATTTTTTTTTGTTTTTTTTAAAGGTGTCCTGTTGCATTGGGCTCTGGTGACTGCTGGCCGTTGCGTCACATGGTGTAAAATGTCAGAATGGCTGCAATAGCTCCTGATGCCTCCTCACTTTGTTGCAGTCACACAAGGGACACATCAGTTGTGTGTGTCAGAGCAGCGAGGAGACTGTACTCGCTGTCAAGTCCGAGAACAGGGACCGATTTAAAGTAAACTATTTTGGAAGAGCAGGGGCTGTGCTTTTCATCACTTCGAGTTAGAGTCTGAAAAACGTGTCTATAATGCAGGGGTGTCATTTTGGTCCGGGGCCAAATTTAAAAACATAAGAACTGGTTGGGGCCAGAAGTATGAAAGTATGTTATTTTTGGGCACTCCACTCCACACAGAGAAGGGAGTGAGATCGCCAGTACAGGAGGCACATGCCAGACCTATTATAGATATTTTTTGTGGTAGTGGGAAACCGGAGCACCAGGAGGAAACCAAAGCAGACGCGGGGAGAACATGCAAACTCCACTCAGAAAGGTCATTGTGCCGCCCAGTTTGGATATCATGTTCTTGTAGATTTGGATTCAACCACACCTGGGCTAAATATTAACGAAAGATGTAGAAGGAACTAACAAAAAAATTCTATATACATTTTAGTTAATGACTATAACATGCCATAGTAGGCCCTTTACCATCAATGCTGCTGTTACGATTAAATATTATTGAAAATCATTACAGGGGCCACTAAAAATTGGCTCCTGTGCCGGAGATTGACATGTCTGGTCTAATGTACTGTATCCAAACAACATTAAATTATTAGCAAAAGACAAAAGCGCTATCTCCAATGTTGCGTGTCCCCAGTGATCAAATGTATGAAAGCATAAATGCCTATATAGAAATTCTCTTCAATTTGGCAGCTCAAGAAGTTCTCTCAATCTTCTGGTAAATATCAACGCTTTTTTAACTAAATCTTCAAGAAAAGCTGGAATTCATGCGTCCATCAAGCTGTACAATGACACCTGCATTCCTGAATCACCCTTTTCAACCAAAGCAAAACATCAGATATTCACCCATTTCTCTACACATTATAGTATATAGTATATTCAAAGAACAAGCGGAACCTTTTTGAAGGTTTTTTTCCCCTCATCAAAAGGTTCAGAATACTCTTTGATGGCAAAGTTTGGATACTGAACAGAATTTCAATGCTACAAAGTTCAATTGTTATGTGTTGTATTCTTATTAGAGTGAATTTAAAGTTTATACAAGTACATTGGCCACAGTTATGACACATACTTTAGGTTGAGGTAATCACATGATCCACAAAGTAAACAAGGGTCAACTCTTATATCATTTACAATACGATTAGTGACAAGCTTATGTTGTTCAAAGATAGTTGCTGTGTGTAAAATATTTGATCCATTTTTGTTCTATACCACAAAATGGAAAAAAATAAAATCATACACAATCTTCCCATTCATTTGTGACTCTTTCATCTTATTTCATGTTTTAATTGTATTGTATATAGGCTAATGAACCAGGCCCCCTTCACACCCACCTCCTCCTCCTCCTGGCTCTCTCCCATTGGTCCATTGTGTTTCTCCTGGTAGAGAATCTTCTTCATCTTTCGATATTGCAGATTGTCCAGCTCACGCACCGCATCCTTGGTCCTCTGGATAAGGTCGAGGAGAATGCGAGGCGACCGTTCTCGACGCACAAAATCATGCTGTGGAAAAAGCAGAAGATTTGATGTTACATGTTTGTTTTCCGTATTTGCGGACTTTAAGTTATTTGAACCCTTCAGCCTATATAGCTCTATAGTTTTTGGACTTGTTACTCTATCAAGTTTTAGTAGATACAAGACACCCGTTTATTGTCAAAATAGACTTAAAAATTGTAACAGTTAGCTTTCATTTGGACTGATTTACCAACTTGTTATTAAATCAAATTGTGACCAGTTAAAACAGTCATCTATCTGATTTGTTTTGCTCTATCAGCTATAATTACAGCTTCTATTAAAGTGCGGCCTATATGTGGACATAATAAACGTTATTATCAAATGTTGCTGGTGTGGTTTATAAACCAGTGTAATTAATATTCTAACAAGTATTGTACTTAAATCTGGGTTACATCTATTTGTGTTTAATAAATAGTACATCATGTTTGTCGAACAGAAAGAGTCTGAACAAATCAGACCACAGCATGACCACGTCTTCATCTTATAATAAAACATATTATCTTCAGCATACCTGTAAGAAAGAGTTCTGTGAGTGGGCTGAAGGTGAAGGTGGTCCTCTCTTCTTCCCCTTTAATTTTAATTTTATATTTTGTCTGAAAAACCTGATGTAAATATTTGAAAAAAGCCAAACAATACATGCATGTGAAAACTAGAAATATCATCATCATGTATTTTATAATTGTCTTGTGTGTGGCTCTCATAGACTGTGCACTTTGGGTCTAAGCACACACAGCGCTCACCACTAGAGGGCGCCTGCATTGCTCACAAGGTCTGGCTGAGCACATTGTGTGACAGATACTCCTAATCTCTTTTCAGGAAATAAAGCCATCAATGTATTTTGCCTTGGCGCTGACATAATGGTAGTAGAATTATGAGGAATGACATAATGGCTTCAACGAACAGAGACTACACTATACGGAATTGAGAAAAGTATTTCTGGTGATTGATGTCATGATAAAATTAGCCCACCCTTTTGCTTTATTCAGGATAATGTAATTATCCTGTAAATATTATGGAATATTTGTTCTAAAATAGCATTCTGAAAAACTATGTTACATAACCGCCAAAGTGGAGTGACTCGGCTTGTGAGGTTTGCCATAAAAATTAGATCTAAACCCAAGACTTCACCAGGACTAAAAGGAACAAGGAATATCTAGACTCACTTTATGATCACAGAATGCATTTTATAATACTGTCTGGGTTTATATACAGCAGCTTTATATAATCACTTCACTATGTACCCAGAGCTGGCTAATACAACATATAATATTAATGCAATAGTTGCTTTATTTGGAGAAATTACATTAAAGTTGTTAAGTTTTAGTTAGATTTGAAGTTAACTAGAATACTGTTCTATGTTCTAGATTTGGTTAATTGCAAAATATAATCATTCCACTACATGATGATACGATGATTCTGCACTATGCGTCTAACAGACATTTTTCACAATACTTGAACTTCTTCAAAAATATTTTACAGACACGATTTAGCACACAACAAAAACCTTATTGCCTCATTAGCCTTACTGATACATGTATTCAATATTTGTTCTTTCTTTATAGAAGTTGGGGTACCTACTTATCAAACCTCAAATCTGTCTAGTCCCTCACCCTCACAACAGTTTGGTTCTACCTGTAATTTTCAGATGCATGTTATTTATGTACCGAATGATTTTTCAGACAAAAAGTAATAAAGAGAGGACCACCCACTCTCAGCCAATCAGATTTCAACCCAAAGATCCTACAAGTGACTCACAGGAGCTTTCTTACATTTTACTTTTACAATATGGGACAAATACCATGTGCTATTGTATTTTTGTGGACTAATTATTATTCCAGCACAAAATAGTATCTTAAGCAAATTGGCTCAACCGTCATCCAGCTATATGCTTAAAAAAGTATGTATAAATTGGAGAAATAAAATATTAAAAATGCATTCCGAGCGTGTTGAATTGAAAAGCATGCTTGAGGTCTATTTCTAGCGGCGCCCTGCTCCTTCCTTATGACAGATGCTGGTGTAGTGGGTTAGTCGGGACACAAGGGAATGACATCACCAGACTCAAAATAGAGATTAGTCATTTTTTCGTCCCGTTTTTGCATAGGCCGGTACAGTAGAGGCACAGTAGGTATGCCAGTGAATCTTTACTACGCCAACTCATCCAGCCATACATGACCGACAAAAGCCGATATCATTATAGCATTTTACTATTGCTGCTGTTGCAACGTCAACTTTTGGGACCTAAATAAATATGCAGAAGGTCCTTGTCATGGTATGAATAATATAGTTCACATACAAAGAGATTTAGGAATGGCTTTGAAAATAACCGGCTCAAAAAGGCTTATTAAGGAAGTTCCAAATAACCTGTGATTATTGGGAGAATTGTCGGTTGGACAGAAGGTCACAAATCAGAGTTAGCGAAAGAAAGTTGCGTAGAGCGATATCTCAGTAATAATGTGGTAAAACCTTAAAATAAATGTGTCTACTGGCTCTCTCCAGTTGAGTGTTTGTGCTTATGCAAGGTGACATTTAGGCACCCAAATATAGATGAACAAAAAACAGCTCGAAATGCACAGACATTGAATTTTTTTATCGAGAAGTCAATCAAATACATTTTAATTTGTTGGTATACAGATGTTGTGTGAATGCTGTACATTTGTGTGCATACAAGTTAACTCGGGTCATATTATGCACAGGTATGCCTCAATCTCATAGTGTTTTCTGTAAGCATGTATTTAACCTGTCCCCAATGCTGTGTGATATCTGAATGGCACCAGATTAGTGACCTGATTTTCGCTGTAAAGAGGGTTTGCATGCGGCTGGACAGCAGAGTGATTCTGGGAGTGAGAGGGGAAACTGGGCTATTAATCATGAGCTGAGAGCCCCTCCCATTTTATCCATTTGCGATCAGGCAGCCCTTTCGCTGATCCAAAATCTGTGTGGGACTTAGCGCTGTTAAAGCGTTTTTTTGGACAAAATTTAGGTCAGAAGTGTTGCAAAGGGAAAACTCGAGTGGAAAAATGTCTACCCAATCCGGAGATCCACCAGCTAACGCAGCTAACCCCAGTAAATAAAGTATAAGTGTCATTCATGTTTCAGAGTCGCTCATATTTTAGGATTCTATTTCAGTTAGAGGCAGGTGCATTGGCAAAGAAACAATTTTTGATATAATTATTGACGTCCAAATGTTTTCACAGATCATTATTTGATATTGATAGTGTGTGAAATTCCTTTCTACTGGCCAACATCACGCATATGTTTATCAATATAGTCACCACTTTGAGACACATTTATGAGAAAGTAATTAGAGCATAGTTAGCATGAACTAACGAAGATGATCTTAGTGACATTTCTTGTTTCATGTGTTTGGCCCAGGAATTAGTGAAATGTCTAGTTTTTTTATTTTATGTTTTATTTCTGACTTTTGATAGTGACTATGAATGATTTTTTTCAGCTGCCCTCCACAATTTTAAACTATAGGCTTCTGGGAATGTTGTGATGTCACGTGAACATAACCTATTGCCCACTCGGCTACTACACTTTGATCGTGTTAGCGAGGAGAGTAAATCTCTACACAAATAGGATTACCTGTTGGTGACACAAACAAAAAGATCAACACTTTAATTAGAGAAAATGCAAGCTGGGGTACCAAACTTTGAAACAACAAAAAATCAAATTTTAACTTGCTTATTGCTGTATTTTGTGGTTTCTGTCACATATTTAGATCAGCTTTTCAGACAGAAAAGTGAAAAAGACCAGGCCACCTTCACACAGCCAATCAGCTCTCAGCCCAAAGTTCCAAATTGTGACTCACAGAGCTCTTTCTTACAAATCTGCCAAGTATAACATGATTTATAAAAAGATACGGATAGCCTGAAGTGGTTTGACTTCAACATTTGACTATAACAAAACTCTTGGAACAAACATTATTATTAACTGTAAAAAATAAATAAATAAAAGGAAGAATAATGTTAGGTTCCCCAGCTTTAACAGCAAACTTTTATTGGCAGATTTTGCAAAGGGGAGTTTGATTTGTACGCCTGGAGGAGCCTGTGTGTGGGTACAGCGTCAGGATATTGTGGGTGGCATTGACTCATCCAGCGTGGAGGGAAGTGAGGTCACAAGAGACGGGATTAGACACGGAAGACCACTCACTCGTAGCAGCTCCCCCGAAGAGGGTCTGTCCTGAGGAATTTTCAGTAGGCAGTAATCCACAAAGCTTCGGAAATGGTCGGACCTGCAACCGAATCAAAACGTTAAAAAAGGTGATATTATAACAGAGCAAAAATCAGCTTTGACAGACAGGCAGACAGTACAACAGATGGCTATCCTTTTTAATCCAACATGACTAATCACATCTTTGTTTATATACAGTATCAATCTATTAAACAGCTGGATCCGTGTGTAATCGTATAATGTGGCTTAATATATAAAGCACATAGATTACATAAAGATATGGAGCAATAAGAATATAGGCCAATGGAGCTGAGCTAAAAATATGTCATCTTCTGTGCTACTAATAACGCTAAAGTTGTTGATGCATAAGACGTCTATTGTTTTGAAAACCAGATTTGAATACAATATTGCATCTTTGGTTCGTTTCTTCTGCAGAAAGAGTTGCAACATCCTACAACGCTATACGCCAAGTCTCATCTGGCAGAATGTGACTGATGCCCTGGGCTGCTGGAAAACATCCAATAATAACTCTAAAAGCAATCACCGCCTTGTGCACAGTGTTACAAACATAAGCTAATTTTACTGCGCCCTTCTTTCCGTCTGCAGGTTTATTCCACTCAGGTGCAGGGTGCTGAATATGTCACTTAACGGAGCGCAGGGAAGACAGCGCAGAAAGGTCGTCAATGCCTCCGGGTTAAACTGCAGGAGAGGAGCCACATGCTGATACTCTGTTTGTTTGCTTATTCCGAGGTTAGAATGTGACGCAAAATGATAGAATACATGATATGCAACTATATATTTGCAAAGCATACCCAGTAAAAATTATAGATTGACTGATGTATTCGGCCAGTTTAGTCTATGTTTTTGAAATATCGGACATACTCTTCTAGGCTTCCATTGCATGTTGTACCGCTTTTAATGCTAATTTATTCTACTCAATGACAACTTTGAATTTTACTCTATACAACCAGCTCATAATTTAATTAGTAATATTAATCTAAGGAATCCTAACCAAAACTCTACTTTTTTTTCTATTAAAAAATAAATAAAACAATAACCCTTCCACAACTGAAAGACTGGATAGATTGGTATCCAGGTTCTGGCGAGTGTTTAGAGCTGGCATGGGCAGTGAAGCCGAGGGTGGTTTTGTGTACTTATGGTTTTGGGTAATCAGAATTGATTTTGAATTGGTTATTTTTCAGCATGTCCACGGTTTTGAGAAAACAAAAGGGTGCAGCCTGAGGACCAAAAATCTGCTAATTGTGGGGCAATATCATACTAAAACTCACCATATTGAAAATGTTTAATTACTGTACAGTGTACTTCTGTGTGTACTTTCACTAAATACAATTGAGCTCTTCTTCCTCCTTCATAGAGGTCACTGGAAACATGGCCCCTGCAGTCACTAACGTCTGGACTAATGTTATGAAGGAGGTTTCCCCTGTAATTACATCATGGATTTAGGCGCCTGACCTTGTGCAGGTGTGTGTGTGTGTGTGTGTGTGTGTGTGTGTGTGTGTGTGTGGGTGTGTCTGTGTGATCCTGTGCCTGTGTGTGTGTGTTTGTGTGTGTGTATGCGTGATCCTGTGCGTGTGTGAGTGAGTGAGTGAGTGTGCGTGTGTGTGTGCGCGTGATCCTGTGCCTGTGTTTGTGTGTGTGTATGTGTGATCCTGTGCCTGTGTGTGTGTGTTTGTGTTTGTGTATGCATGATCCTGTGCGTGTGTGAGTGAGTGAGTGAGGCCCTGTTTATACTGAGACGCTGCGTAGACGTTTCCAGGCTATTAACAGAAACGACCTGGCTCCTAATGCAAATTTCTCAGCGTTCACATGAGGTTGAAAAACGATGTAGTTCTAGCGCCCGGCCAGTAGTGGGCAGATAAACTTTACAACACGACACACGACCCCCAGCCCCGTGCCCAGCCCCCCTCTCGGCAGTATACTCACTTCCTGTGCCAGACCCTCAGAGAGTACCAACATCATTCTGCATTTTAACAGCAGCTGTGAACATGGAAACTGAACCTAGAGCTTCGCGTGGTCTCGTTTGGACGAACGAAGGAGTAGAATTATCCTCTGTCCCGCGCTGGAAGCCCACGTAGCTAGTTTGTGTGGGCGGCGCCATTATTGTTGATGTTTGTTCTCCGCTACTGCGCATGTCCAAATTTACGTGCGGGGAGCAGCGCGGAGGCGGGGGTCAGAGCAGAGGGGGATTTCACACCTTTTCCCCTCTCGCGGGTGTGAAAGAGAGCCCCCGCTGTGCAGCGTATCTGAGTTGTCCCACTCTGCAGGCTGGATCTGAACACTTACGTTTTCACCCCCCTGGAACACAGTCTTCGTATGAACGGTTGGTAGGAACCGACATCCAACTATACCGTTTTACTGCCACATTGTCTCCGTGTAAACTCAGCCTCATGAATGTGCGTGTGTGTGTGTGTGTGCGTGTGCCTCGGTCACACTTTGCAGATTAACACAACAGGACAAACCTGACACAGGCCTTTGTCTGTTGTAGCTCACTTACTCAGAGCAGTGTACTAATCACTCACACAAAGTAGATAACACTTTGCTGCAAATGATATTAACAGGAGCAACAGCATGCTTCTCTGACAAAAGGTTGCTCTTCTCACCTCAATAAGTGACAACAGGATCATGCTGACAATCTTGCAGTGTATTTAAAGACACTTTTAAAACTATTGGAACAAATTCATGATTTGATGGTTCTGTGATTAACCATTATATTACTAATTAATTCACCAACTTGTTTTTTGTATCCCTAAAGATCAGTGAACATGGGACTTTTTATACAAAGAGGAAGTTTGGAGAACAGCTTCATATATGACTTGTTACAAATTGGGTTGTTTGATTAAAAATACTTTTTAAAAGGCATTTCATTCTGCATTGTAGACAGTTTTGAGGCCTTCACAGCCCAATTGGCAAGTGCTCATGGACAAGGTTTGCTCCAACTACCTCTGGTGCCGATCGACTTTACTTAAAAGTAAACTCCTCAGTAACACACTCTCCACTTTGGGCTTAAACAATCTGTGGTTTAGCGCCCTTTATGATCCTGTGGTTTTTATTTGGATATTGCCTGTGTAAATCCAGGCATGAGCCATATAAAGATGGATCAATCATTTGTGGGGGAAACTCCAGCTTGCCTTAGCAACCATCATAGAAACACATCTGCCCCTGTTATGGCGAGAAGTGGACGCTGTCTAAACACATGCCCATATAAGGAAAATGGCTCCAAGCTAAACTAGCTTATGTTCGAAACGGCTTCTTCTGCATTTAGCAAACATTATGGGTGACATCAGCTCTATGGTCTATGGTCCAAACTCAAATTAGTTTCTCGGTCTTCTAACTTATTACACCTGCAGAAGTGAATAGTGTGAGCTGAGATTACAACAATCCAAATGGAACTGTCGTCTTATTTGAGCACAAACTGAGTCAATCATTGTTCTGTTGAAATGTTTTTGTTTTTTTTAATGGAAGGAAGCACTCACCACTCATTGGACTGGAGTGTTGGAGAGTCATTCTGGGCAATGTGATATAAGGCACTCATGGCATTCATGTTGAACAAGGGTGGTTTCCGCTCCGCTATTTTAAAACACAAAAGATAAAGACAGTTAGAGCCTTTTTTTCGTAATGCGGATACAATTTTACTTCACTCTATATTTTTGCAATACTCACCCAACTCAATACAAGTAATCCCAAGGGACCAGATATCAACCTTTCCTTCATACTGTCCCTCATCCATGGCTAGGATTACTTCTGGGGCCATCCTGGAAAATGAAAACACACACACACTTTATTAACTATGCAAAAAAAAAAAAAAAACATGTTCTAATCTGCTAAGCCTCTCGGAGCTTCGAAAGAGTCTGTTACTCAGCGATAACGCAAATAACTGAATAATGTGTTGATTCTGTAAATGTGGAGGCGCTTGTTTGTGACATGAGGGAGACAGACTGGAGACTATCGACATAATCCTTATTTCATTAGGTTTTCTTTGTGTGTTATATTTATATCAAGGGTATGGCTACAGCTGAATCATGAATGAATAAAAGGAGAAGGACGTACAGATATGTGTGAACGTACAAGTACATGCTGAAAACTGTAAATGTGGGTGCACAACGAGAACATTTGCACAGAAGCCTCAATGGTACTGTGGACGGTGGTACTGACCAGTAAGGAGTTCCCACAAAGGAGTTGGCGGGTGAGGCAATGGCGGCAGAGCCAAAGTCAGCGAGTTTGACCTGACCCAGCTCAGTCAGCAGGATGTTCCCGGCTTTAATGTCTCTGGATAAGAGCAGAACCACTGTTATAAACACCATAAAACAAACAGCCTGAATATACTGTAGGAAATTATCAGTAGAAAAATATGTTTGACCTAAACGTCGCATGAAAGCTTTGTTTGCCAAAAATGCTCAATTTGTTTTATTTCTAAAATGTATATACATAGCAGCATTTACTACCATAATAATTATTATCGTTATTTACTTTTATATCTGTCATAACCGTGTGTGGAATGATTGGAACAATATCTGAACTCTGAACATTGTAAAGTGCTTTGGTTGACCTTGGTCTGTAAAATGCGCTATATAAATAAACATTACTCACTTACTTACTATATCTTGGTCAGTGAGGATTCCAATGCAAACAACCATTGATTAAATTAGATTGAAGGTTCCAGATCACTCCGCCATAACCCATGGCATTCAGTTTGAATTATAAAGTTACTTTGACAGGTCTAAGACACAGCAGGATGAGGGTAGTATCTGCTAAACATACACTTTTCTATCATTGTGTAATGATGTTCATGACTAAATGAAGGCCTGTGTTGATTTTTCTCCTGTGTGTGTGGCTTCATTTTGTTCTCAACTTTGGCGCCATCTTGGCAAAAAAGCTGTCCCTTTCCTCAAACATGTTTTGCAGAGTGCTTTGTGATCCTTTGAGCTGTTGAAACCCTTAAATTATAACTAATTATTAATGATAACAAACTCATACAAGACAATGTGGTAAATAATATCATCAGACGACAGTATTCACTGTATTCACTGTGGCACTCAGTGTACAATGTAAATCCAAAATCCTACATTTCAACCTATTCCACTTGTTTTCCAAATACATCTAATCACAATTAAATCAAGTTGTTAACTAATAATATTTTAAAAACCAAATGTTTTTGTTTTAGAGTTCTTAAGTCCTAAAGATTCCAGGTATTTATAGAAAAAAGCAGAAGTAACAACGCTATAGCTAAAATATCACCCGTTTCCTGTTAAACTGAGGCAACTTCCTATGACACATCCACAGCTCTTCGAGTTACATTGTTGTCTTAAAAGATATTTGATAATTAATGTCATTACATGTGCATTTCTTTGTTGTTCTGATAAAATAAGATGGCCGACAGTAATGATAAAAAGGTCACACTGACAGATCATTGAAGATTAATCGACTTAACAACAATAAAATATATGATGTCTTGCACAGTTTTTCCTTGGTGGTTTTACTGCAAATGGCAAATAAATGAATCTGAATCTGAATCTGATGGCAATTACTTTTATAAATACAATATATATGACCTGGCTGAGGTTGTAGTCCTAATGCTGCTAAACATTTGCGTAGATTACATTCAGTACGAATACATAGATTAGTAAATACTGTATAATGATTGGAATGGAAGAAAGTATGTGCACAAACAGCTTTTACCAGACTTGGTTTGTAAACTGTGACGACATGTTGTAAATGTGGAGGAACATCTCACCTGTGAATCATGTTATGGGAATGTAGATAAGCCAGACCTAGCAAGGCACCATGGGTAATGGCAGCAATTTCCACCTCTTGCAGTGGTTTCTTGTGAACTGGTAAAAAAAAGTTTCAATGTTAGAAAACGTGCTTTTCTTTTGTTAGAAGAGCAAAGGCAGTTTCAAAAATGTGTTTTGTTTTCGACTTACCTTCTAACAAATCTGACGCAGAGCCCAGGCAGTACTCCATCACCAGCTATAAAGCATTACATTCATTTTACTCAGGTCTTGAAGATGTCAAAATATATTTGCATTGAAATAATGGTTAACAGTTCTGACCCAGGCAGTGTTGTCTTTCAAATAGCAGCCTTTGTACTCGATGGTGTTTGGGTGTCGCAGCTGTCCCAAAAACTTGACCTCCTTAATGATGTCCTGCCACTTCTGTAGGAACATGAATTATTATAGAGGTTTGCTTTATATAATTAGTAGAGTAAAGTTGTCTCTCAGATCTGAGTGTCACCCCTCCGACCCAGAAATGGACTAATAAAGGGGTAGAAAAGGAATGAATGAATGAATGAAAGATAGTGTTTCTCCAAATGTTTGGTGCCACATACAACAAATTATACAAACAACTAGAATTTGTTTTCATTTTAGTTACGAATATTGTATAGTACACAGTAGTATACAGTAGTACACAGTAGGACCCCAATAGGACCCCAATATTAACATTTCCTTACTTCGGTTGTCTGCTTGCCATTATAGGACATCTTCTTGATGGCGACCACCTCATTGGAGTACGAGTTACGGGCCTAAAAAAAACACAAAAACAGCACAGTACAATAAAATGAATAATTCTGTACTTTATTGAAATATTTGGGGTTCTGAGCAGTGAGATGCAGTAGAATTCTCTGCATGCCCACAGCTGCAGCATTAGCATGACACAACAGATCCTCTTATTTGAATTTGGACTCATTTCTGCATGATCAAAGCACTGTTATTTACAGCTGGGGCAGCAGTGGTGAGGTTAGTCTGCAGCTTGTGTGAGCATTTTGAATCATCATCTTCTCTACATATCCACAAGCCCGTGCTAAAGCCTGGGTGTTAACCCCAAGAGTATTTGGCCTTTGGGACAACTACACTGCAGCTCAGCGTAAGCCCTTAACCCAGCTTCATCCCACTTACAAATGAATGGCAATTCATGTAGAGGTTCAGATGGAATTACACTCACTACACGCAACAGAGCATTCCCAGCTGACTCTTTTCCAGTTTCATTTTATCTGAATCACTGCCTGTCAGCAAAGCAGAGCAGCTCCCTCTGGTTCTGTGGATAGAGGGGTGCTATGGAGAATCAATGTTCTGATACACTAGAATATTAAAACGCTAATTATTTCCACAAAGATGGGGAAATAATTACAAAAGACTCCACTATTCTATCCACTATGTAGATGTGTGTTCAAAGCCATAGGTAACAGGCCTGTGCTCAGCGGGAGGATTTCCCCCTCAACTATTTCATAATGGACCAAGTCCCAACATGCATTAACCAAAGCATGAAAGTGCATAAATCTGCATACTTTTGAATGTGATTATTTGTTACAAACTAGAAACACTCCATATAAGTGTGCTCTTCCCTCCAAATACACAATTAACCTGCAGCTAGAAACAGAAAATTAGCACTACAGACATTTACACATGCTGATAGCTAAATCAAAGACCTGTTAAATATAGAGCCATTATCCTGACGAAACACTGAAATAAGCATTATCATAAAGACTACAAGATAATAATAATGAAAATCTTCTTTACAGAGAATTGTGCAAGAAGCTGGCATCTTAGTTGACCAGTTTCAATCTACCCAAATTTGACAAGTTCAAATGGACATGGGTTGAGAGAGACAGACAGAAGGTGCAATGGGGCTATTACTTATATTTGAAGCAGACACTTAATGCTTCTGTCTGTGTCTGTAAATAACTTTGGACAGAACAGGGAAGACAAGCTCTGTCTGCCAAGGAAAATCCAGCCTCAGTATATTGACCGTTTTCACAAGTGTGAGAGCAGCTGGCTTAACACCCCCCATGCATCTGGAGAGGAGGGGCGGCGAGGATCGGGGATAAAGAAGGACATAAAGTCTTCTCTTCACATAAAATCAAAGGCTGGAGGAGTAATTAGTGATGATGAGATTACTATGACAGGCTGTGGGGAAAGAGCCAACAGAAACAGGGATTGACTCTACCATGATGCTTGTTCTGCGCGTGTACAAATCACTTAAACAAGAGTAACTCTCTGTGATAAAATCATTCAATGCTGTTTCATGAGACAATAATTAATAACTATTGATTTAAAAAAATCTGCTCTTGGTTTTAGGATTGTAATGAAGGTGACTGGTTATAGATAAGGTAGGTAAAAGTGGAGTTAATTTGTATGTCTGAAGTCGCAGAATGGTATAGAATACACAGACAATCTTGAAGTGGCAATCGAAAAAAAAAAACATTGTTTGAAGGGCGCAAGTGACAAATTTAAATGTGGCAGAAATGAGCTACTATTTAGAGCCATTGAACATATCCAGAGCGACTCTCTGATGCCAACAAAGCAGAGCTAACCGGAACAGCAGAGGGGAAGCCAAAAGAACCGATACACTTAACTAAACGTCCCTTCAAACAAGGAATTAAGGACAAGGCTTGTATGTAATTCCAGTGAGTAGAGAAACCCAACAGTGTTTGATCCTTAAAAGAAGTGGGGTGATTTATAAAAATAAAATATTATCTATTATATATATACATATATATATATATATCTATATAATCTATATAATAATATATCTATATAATATAGCTATTTTCATGGCGTCATATTTTATTAACTTCTTAATTGTAGAATTATTATTCTAGCACTATGTATTATTCCACCTGTTTTCATGTTTGCAGCACTTACAAAGTAGACAGCCCCAAAGCTGCCATGCCCGATCTCATGGAGGTCGCAGAAGACGTCCTCGGGGTCATCTTTGAAGAACAGCTCGGCCAGCTCGGGGTCCTTAAGCGCTCCTTTCCTGGTGGAGGATGGCATCATGGGCGGGGCCTCACACACACACTACTGCTGCAGCTGCTACCGCCACCAGCCGTCCATGGCGGCCTCGGCATTGGCCAGCCAGACCTGTATAACAGAGAACATACTGTCAATATGATGATGCGTTTCTTTACTGAACTCAAAAACATATACTACCTTTGAGGCATAAATGTCATAATTTCTTTCAAAAATAGTTCATCCTATTCTTAAAAATCAATATGTAGTATGAACAGTAACTGGCATTGTAGCAAGAACAGAACAAAATAAAAACAAAATTAGCCTAAAAACCTAAAAAACATGGACACATTCTTCTGTCAGTTTGCACCAGGGCAGCTGTGGCTACAGTAGTAATTCATCATGGCATGCAAAGCATGCCAGTGCTATATAAAAGGAATGCATATTATCATTACAATTATATGAATTATAAATTAATAATATTGATAGGTCAATCTAAATCAAGGTATTATGACAGGTGTGAAGGTAGTTTCCAGTGTGACGGACTTTGGTCACCCATTTCCAACTCGTCTCACAGAGGAATGAATGCGGTGAACAATAAAAAATGTAATGGTCGACGTTCCAATGAATGTACTGTACTAGATTAAGGCTTTGTATGTTAATTTAATCATCATGAGCAAATGTTGATGAAATGGACAACAATCAAAAGAAAGAAGAGGCCGTCTTGTCCGCCCTGTCCTGGTCAGACGGTCACGCTGTTCACATAAACACAGGCAGATGAGTCACTGATGCCTCACTTCCACACAGATCAGGACAGAGGACCAGGCTGGAGCCTCCTCCCGCACTCCTGCTCCAGTTAGCTCCACTGCACATTGCACACACTGACATACATCGAGACTCTCACCACTGCTCAACACCACAAATGTACATATGACTGATCTACTCTACTCTGTAGATCAGCAACTTTTCTTTGAGGCAGAGAAAAAAAGAATTCTTACATAATTTCATCTGACCTTTAAGATACTATAATTTATTTAATATATTAAAGACAAGATCATTCAGAACATATCTAACAGCTCAAAGACCAGACCGACACTGAGCTGACAGACAGAGGCCAAGATCACTACACATCAGCATCATTCTAATCCCCTCTTCTTTAAAGAGATCCCGGCAATCACACCCTCTCCAAAAATAAAGATCTTAAAGGAAACCTAACCCGTCCAGAAACACAAACTCACCAACCAAACTCTGGTGGAGTTCATGACCTCCTCATCACCTGCTCCACTCCACACACACAAAGAACAACTTCTATACAAATTCTGTTTGCAATTCATATCAGATTATTTAAGTGGCAGTTTGATGTCCGATGGAGCAGAGTCCGTGTGATCGGACCCCTCTCTCACAGTGGGCCTTCTCGAGGTTTCCTTTTTCTTCCACTGGAAATAGTTTTATTCACGTGTATTAACATTTAAAAACATTGATTATCTTGTTATGGACCAATAGCTCTAATGTATTTGTGTTATCATTGCATTCCTGTATTCCAATAGTTTGATTTTCTGATTGGTTGTTGGCGAAAGAAGACAGTATTTACTATTTTGAGATATTTGTCATGGTCTAGTAGGATATAGAGTTCTGTCATTTCTCCCATCTTTAAAATGTTAATCCTATCCTGTAAAAATGGTTCTTCCCAATTAAGTGCAGCCCAAAATAAATAATTTTACAGGAGCTCCTGCCAGACTCTGAATAATTGTTCATACATTCATAGACACCAAAGACTGCCAATCTGTTCCCTTTGGCCTCCGTCAATCACACGTTCAATAAGAAAGCTGAGGAGCAGTGCTAATAATCACGACTCTCAATATTTTGATAACACTATTTTCCCATTGGATCTCAAGTCTGTAATTTGCTCTCTAATGTCTCTCATTAATGTCTCTGTACATCTACAGGTTGAGTATTCACAGAACACAAATATACTTTAAAAGCAACTACAAAAGGACAGGTGTATACTTTCCTGTGTCATCTTTCTGGCATTTAAAAAGTTCAAATACAATCCGTCTGCTTACTGTATACTTCATAATAATATAGATTCAAAGTCTTCTATTAACGGCTTTTGAGCATTGGGGCTTGTTCGTCATGCAATTTCAACATCTATTCAAATGAACTGATTCTCAAACAACGATATAAACCTGAGCAAAACTTTAGTGGAATGAGCATGTCTGCGAAGTATTGTTTACCTGTATACACATGTTCACATAATCACATTTGCGGCACGCTGCGTGTCTTGCTGTTGTGTCAGAGAAGCATGGCGAGTCAGGCTTAGACCTCCAGACTGTGACTGAGCTGTGACAAATGATGAATGAAGAGAGCGTGGAGTATATTACCGACAAAAACAAGCTGCACGCTGCTGACTCCAAACATGGAGACGCCGCGTTAGTCCTACACAACATAACGAGCTGCAGTTCAAGCCAAAAACAGACATATTATTTGTTTTCTCAAGATCCTAATACATTTTATTTTGTTTTTATATAATTCCAAAGTTTGTTGAATGATATGTGAATGAATATGTTAATAGCCTCAAAAGTTAACAGGATCTTTCAGATGGAGCAGAGTGGAGCACTGAAACTCACAGGAAGATTTCTGCCAAACCAGCGCCTTAGTGAAAAGTAAGCACAGCAGCGAATACTAATCTTTGAGATAAAATTGGTAAATGTATTGACATAAATAAAAAACCTAGACAGAGGGAGAAACATGAAAACTCCAGAAAAAAAGGCCCAGGCCGACACAGGATCGAACACACAACCTTCTTGCTGTGAAGCATAAGTCTTTCCACTAAGCCCAAAGATTATAAATCAACAAATGTGGCAACTCAAAAGGAAACATGCAATTCTGTTTCCTGATCTGATCAGCAAGACTCCAGCTGCTTGCAGAGCAATATATTAAATGTTAACATTAATAATGTTGCCATTATGTCACTTTTTACTGTAATTGAGAATAAATCAAAGAATTTGATCAGAAATAGCCAAATATGATTTGTACAAATCACCCTTGTGTCTAGAGACACAGTGTAATTTTAATAATTTAAATCTGTCCTAAATGGCAATACTTTTGACAACCCATGATTATGCTCAGTAATAAAACAAAATCTAATGTAGGAACCTTCACAGCAGAGAGAGTCACACAAACACATCTTCAGCCTGTTCATTCTTGCTGCTGCTTCAAGATGTGTGAAATGATCCAAAGTGGCAACGGCGGCCTATAAAGGGCACGAGGAAGCTGTTACTAGTGCAGGACTGAGTGGGACACAACACGTGTGCTCCTGCGGCTATGAATGGGATTGTGCCGAGAGGGAGAGCTGCTTAGACAAATGGATTAGACCGATTAGGAGCATGGTGGGTGTGTCATTTAATATTCAGGCAGCACTTTTACATTACCCGACCAGCTACTGTGGTCATTATTCCAACAAGCCGGAACTTCCTAGAAATATATTGCTCTACATGAGGACACATTGTGTATTAAGGATAATGTAATCTACTATAGAGATTCATGCCAGCTTTCTGAATAACACAACTTAACCAGAGATTGTATGGTCAGATACCACTTCTGTGTAAATGTTACTTCTGTGATTGGTCTGAACGCGTCTGTCTCCTTGGAGATGTTCCTCTTTTCACAATGGAATGTTCCAGATTAAGACAGAAAAAAAAAAACAGGTGATGCCTTTGAGCTCGTTCGCAGTTAGAATCAACAATTTTAGAGAACATTTTTAACACTAATATTGATGATAATGATATAGCTGTTTCACTGTAATGTTCACCACTTATGAACAACTGATTCAAGTGTTTCAAGTCAATAGCTGCAAATTCTGCTTCATCTCCTCATCACCTGCAGTGGACATAGAATCTTAGCACAATCATTTCAATTACATTTGAATTAAATTATTTGAATTCTATATCATATTATAATATACTAAAGTCCAAAACCTATACACCATATCATTTCAAATTTTTTGATCAGCCTAAAAGCTATAGCTTTATTTCTACTACATGATCAGGTCATATCATAGCCAAAGAGGTGACCCTAAATTAAAGGATTTACAGAGGTATCCAAAGCACCCAGAGGAAAGTCACACACACGCTGAAAAAATGCTGCCAGTTGTCGTCTTTGTATCGTTGTGAATGTGGTCAGAGGACATTAGCAGCACTGACGGTCTTCATGCCTGCGTCCTGACTGTGGTCATTGAGAAGCAGCTCTCACTTTCACTCTGATCCCGGCCTCTGCGTCTCATCCTGTTAAGCCCTCTGCTAACATATGACCTCTAATCACTACCGTCCATAGTACAGCAACCATAAACCAGGCATGTATAAAGTCCAGGCCCACGAGCCAATCACGGCCCTCTATGTTATTGTATGTGGCCCTGCCTTGCTATCCCAAAGTAGCAATTCTTTTGACCGTGGCACATACGTTTTTATATTGAGCAAATGGAAAATGACTCTAGTTTCTTTCTTTGCTCTGGCTGCCAACAAAAAACACTATGGATTTTTTTTGTGTGTGTGAAAGTGTATCATTCACTTTTGTATCTATAAACTACGGAAGCGTGTTAGGTTCACTTGTGAGTGCGTTTTTTTCCGCTGGTATCATTCAAGGTATTCAAGATAATTTCGTGTTATTTCCAGATAATGTCATGTTTGTACAAGATACGAATCATGTTATTTTATGATACCAATTTATTATGAAATAACAACATACTGTAGATCTTAGTAACAGTTTGTGTCACACTCACCATTTTGGGCTTGAAAAATCTGCTGTCGAGCGCTGTCTTTGCCCTAAATGTTCTCTTTTAATTCGGCTTTAGCTAGTGAGTTTTTTTACACCTGCATACAATTATACTTTTATGTTTTCATGCAATAACAAGTTATCAGTGTCTCCTCAAGCAAATCTTATTGGCAATGCTAATTCCAAGGGGAGGGATTGTTTTAAATATATTTACTGTGACAATAAGTAGCTGATACAGAGAAATATAGGTTATACAGATGAACTGTATATAAGTATGTATTCTTATCAACATGAAAAACCAAGTTACCATGACGTTACTCTAACATGGTATGGAATATGGACTATAGTCTTTTGTGGCTGCA